CCCCCCCCCCCCCCCCCCCCCCCCAAAAAAAAAAAAAAAAAAATTCTGAATCTGTCGTTGGACATGGATGAGCCACGTGGCAGGAAGCGTCATTGTCATCCAAGGAAGTCATTTCGTGTGGTACTGTTCAAATACCGGGTACTTGGAAAAGTAAGAACCACAGCCAGTTTTTAGGTATGACTGGCCACAGCGGGATGGAGGGAGCGGGGTATCGCAGTACTTCCGTATTTTCGAATTAGCACCCGGCCCAATTGCTACTATTTTTGGCGCAATGACTGTGACAGGGCTTAGAAACATTTTCGAATGCGATATCCTTGATTTTACTGAAAAAAAAGCATACGTTCTCAATCGCACACTGCTTACGGAGGAAGACCCGGCATGTACACATACCACTCCATTCCTCCAATACCAAGAAGGATAAAAAATATTGGCTGCCTTGCTTTGTCCATCGGAGGTGGAGATAACGAGCAAAAGGATTTCAAAATTGGCTTGTAACTTTGCCATCAGGTCTGAAGAGGTTAATTGGAGATTCCGTGGATCTCAACTTTATTTCCTTACTCGCTTCATAAAAAAATTCCTTGAGTTTTTTTTTTGCGAAATGACGAAGAGGAAACAGTTGCGATTGGAACAGTGACAGAATGGGAGCGGCGTTCCCATACAACCGGGAAGGGAACGAATAAATTATTGACAAGCATCTCAAGTTCTCACTCGGCTGGGGATTGAGGGAGAGAGCGGGGCGGGGCGGGGCGGGGATGGAATGGGTGAATTTTGCATAAGAAAATCTCTCAAAGAAACCCATCCAAAATTTAGAGGATGAAAAGTCCAGCAAATAAAATTTTCAACGGCATCCTCAGGGATTCGAGAGTCAGAAAAAATCTACAGAGAGAGAGAGAGAGAGAGAGAAAAAAACTAATTCGTGCGAGCAAGGTCGTGGATGGGAGGGAGTCGACCGAAATTTGAACGAGACGTCCAAGCAGTCATTCTGCCTTTTCTTTCTCTCAACCTATAGCTGGCGGTTTCAGAACCAAAAGGTTAGAGAAATTCAATGTGCCATTTTCCCACAAAATTTAAAGCTTCATTCAAGACTAATTAAAGGAGTTGGCATATTTTGCATTCATTCACAATCGATTTCTAATTATACAAATTGCAGAAGTCAATTCCTGCAAATAATTTTGAATTGTAATTACATTTTAACCCTATACTTTAAAACGCATCATAGTTTTGAGCGCCTGCCGTGCAGTGGACGGCGCCGTCGCCCTTCCAGCGCGTCGCAGCATCACTGGTGCCGTCTAGGCTGCTCGTTACGAGCTACATTTCATTGTTGCTTCGGCTGTTGTTGAGGGAGGTTGTATTGCCAAGGCAAAGGAAACGAAAAAAAATTTCTTTTACAATTTTTGCGGAAGCAGAAAGTGTGAACCTGAAGGTAAGAAAAAATAATTGTGGTGTTGTTGTGATTGTCTCATGCATTATGACAACTTTCAAGTTTTTTCTTATTGGTCTTATTGGTTGGTAACAGGACGACGTTTCAGTGGTGTGTTTGGAAACAAAGAAACACGGAAAACACAGGTTTACTTCTGAACATACAAGGAGTGTTTTTTTTTTCCTTAGTCACAGAGGTGTTCAGGAACACCCGCCTGGTTCAACCAGTAGCGGGTTTGCAAAAATCTGGAAATAAAAATTCAGGCGTTCCTTGGCAACATATAGGTCATGTGAAATCTAAAACCGCTAAAATAAATCTTAAAAAAAATAATCCCGCGACGCATAGGATTAAAAGCATGAGGAAACTAATTTTTTAAATTATAGAAATAGGGTGGATTACATAAAACTGACTTTAGCGTAATAAAGCTTTAAACCTCCTTTAACGGTGCTAAAAGAGGTTTAAAGCTTCATTGCACTAAAACCAGTTTTATGCAATCCACCTATGGTCCTCCACATCTTACAAGATAGAACATCAGATAATGCGCTCGCAAAATTTCAGCTTTTCATTTCACGATGCAACGAAGGAGATAGGCTTCGAAGAGTCAAAACAAGCAAACTAAGAAAATGGTGCATTAGGCAAGGAAAGCACTTTTTTCTGAGGAATGGAACATTTTTTAAATCAAAGGTACGGAAGGATTTTTTTTCGCGACTTCATAAAATAAAAGCATGTTTCACAGAAGCATGTGCTTCAACCACTTAAAAATATATATATTATTGGATGTGTTGAGTGTTACCTGGCCCTCTCAACATGAGCATCGCAGATCTGGTCACAAAACCCAGCAAAAAAAAAACCGCTGAAGACATTCAGCGCTCTCCCACGAACCCAAATGAAAATTTCAGTCGAAAGCGGAAAAAAAATCTTTATCGCAAAAAAGACTTTCCTGAGGCACACACTCTCACGACATAACGTCCGGATCGCTCACGAAGCCAGCCGGAGGTGCGACGCCCTCTCGTCCAGCTCCGCCACGAGCGAGTCGGTGAGGGTCAGCGGGGTCACCTCCCTCCCTAGGGTGGACGCCACCAGGTCCCGGGGGTCCCGCCCTCCCCCGTGGGCCAGCAGGCCCCACCGCACTCCCTCTCCGCCGCTCCGACTGAACGGGTCGTCCTGGAAAGCGGAAATCGGACCGTCGAGGTGAATTGTATGTGTATTGCATGTTGTGTATTGCGTTTTTCAACAGAGTGACACACATTTCAATGTTTCAACATGTTCCCTTTTTTTTAGGGAAAACACCAAATTAAAAGTTGCAGATGCAGCATGCAATAATAGGACTCCAATGAGCTGAGAAAACAAATGAAAAAAGGAAGAAAAAAATAGAAAAAGGCTTCAGGAACCACTGCAGTTGACTGAGCAGAGTAAAACAAAGTGGAATGATCTCAAAAACATGAAAAAAAAATCTTGGAATGAAAATAAAACTTTCTAATATTGGCAAAAGGATGGATGATGGAGGATACAGGGATGGTAAAGACAAAACTAAATAAATATAATTTACACGAACTGTATAAACTCAGAGGAAAACTCAGAAGGGCGTCGAAGCCACCCACCGTATCGGGGACGTATCCGAGGCCGTAGTAGCGGTTGTGGGTGTCCTCGAGCACCTTGGCGGTGGGCGCCGGGAGCGGGTGGGCCCCGTGGAGGCAGAGGTCCAGGGCGGAGTAGAACACCTGCAGCTGCGCCTCCGACGCGGCGAACACCTGCTTGGAGGCGCACAGGTTCATCACCAGCTCCTCCGGCATCGCCTGCCCGGAGTCGAAGTGCCGCGCGAACGTCCCCAGGACCTGGTCGTCGGGGGAAAAAAAAGAAAAAAAGATTCGAGTTCGTGCTTTGAACTCAAATTTTTACGCTCGAATGATTGTCTCAATCAGAGATTTCAATCAAAAGAATTCGAGGGCGATATTTGACGACTTTGACTTTCCATCTCAAAGCAATTTTGTTTTAAATTATTACTACTGATGTTCACACAAGTTCTTGCCTTTTTACTAAGTTTTTATTATTATCATGAGGTCAATATTTAAAAAATATGAATCCTTTCTTCTTGGAAACCGAAGCAGCACGACATCTTAGATTTAATAGATGCAACTTGGCAATTGTCAGATGGCATCAAATTGTTCCTCTGGCACAGCAAGCGCTTGCGCCTTGCAGCACGCAATGGTGCAAAATGTATTTGCCCTTTATAAGGCCACAAGAGAAATAGTGACGCGATACAACATAGCCCTTTACTTTTGCTCGACGGTATATTTGATATAAAAATTTTGCCATCACCAAGATACGAGGAAGGAGCCAAAATTGTATGCAAATTTTCATTGAAAAAGATGCAACATATTTCACTTAAGTTTATCTAATGAAATGAACCATAAGACGTTCGAAAAATTTGAGGAAAACCTTCCGAGGAAAGCACTCTGAGCATGAACTTAAGGAAGACTGAAACCGCCCGAGCATTTCCTCACGGCCACGAAAAGGAATTTTTCCAGCGAGGTGGTCTCGCTCCATTGAGAGCAGGAGCACCTCGACGTCCAGGGGAATTATAATGAAAAATAATATATAAAAAATTCAGGATCCTTTTTTGCCTAATACCTCCTGGATCCTCCCACATAAGCTTACACAAAAGATACAACAAAATAGTCACTCTGTGCTGGTACAAAAAAAAAAATATATCAATTGGAAGCAGGGACCAACCCTGGGGTCGAATGCAAAATGCTCCATGAGGGTGGAGGGGACCTCCGCAAAGTCGGTGGAGGTGCGGGTGCCCGTGACGTGCTGGTAGCGGGTGCGGGCCAGGAGGGAGTGCAGCGCGTGCCCCATCTCGTGGAACAGGTTCTCCACCATCCCCGGGAGGAGCAGGGGCGGCTTCCCCCACTGCCCCGGGGGCACCGTCAGCATCAGCACCACTATCGGCAGCTGCACGGCGATTCGAGCGAAAGCATCGCGTACGGTGTCGACATGATCCATTTTTACCTTCCTCGTTCCGATTTATTTATTTATGAGTCTTCAAAAGACTCATAAATAAATAATTCGGACCATCTGAGGATTCAAGATTGGTATCAACAACTAAGTCCAAAGATGTGAAATATGCAAGAGACTGAAAGTGCATTCCAATGAGGGGACCGACCCCAGTCAATAGAATGTCTTGCGCGATCATTAATATTTACATCATAATTAAGGCAACTTTATTCAGGCCGAATCCTCCCATGCAAGTCGGGCGCATTCATCCTGAAATCTGTCATTTCAAAGTTTCGCTCCTGGCACCGTTTGCACGATGCATATCGAACACCCAGCTGGAATTCCCCAAATGGAGTGCAGCAGGCTTAGCAAGCCATTCCCAGCTGGAACAGAATTTAATTTACAACTACAAACCAGCTGCATCTTAGCCGGAGTCAAGCCGGAAACAGCCGATGAAAATTTTTCTCCAACCAGGGAAAACCCCCCCCCCCCCCCCCCCCACGAAACCAAAATTCAAATTCGGACACCAACGTAAAAGGTCATCGAAGTTCGGGATGCTCCAAGCAAAGAAATCGGAACGCCTCGGGCCGCCGACAGACCTGATAGGTGCCATCCGGGAGTCGTCGCCCGCCCCGAATGGTGAAGTGGCAGTCCTGATTGGGCTTCCCCGGCCGGTCGTAGAAGTCGCAGTATATGTAGCCCAGCACTCCTTCCTCTTCGTGTCGCACTGTTCGCCCACAGATGACGACAGTCGGGCTTGGATTAGCGGCTCGTTAAAAGTAACAGGGTTAGCATGCAACAACTTGGCAGCCAACAAAGAGCAAAAAAAAAAACATTTCCTCCTCTGCCGTTATTTTCTGAGATGTGGCGATCGGCGTTGCTTTGTGTCATATAACACTCACCCACCTATGACCACCAATGAGTCACGTGAATTGAGACGCGCTTCCTGCGCAAACAGTGCAATGAAATCTCACCAGCGGTCACTCGGAAATCAAAATGCTCAGCGACCTTTCAACAATTGCAGCTGCATGCAGTGCAACATAAGACTATCAGAAAGCCATAAATGAATTAGTCACTTTTGCGATGAAGCAACCCGTAATTTAACTCAGTTAATTTCTCAAACTCCTTTACCCAAGATTTACTGCAGAGAGCTTGAATATGATTGCATGATTACTTCACGCTTCACTCAGTTACAGCAGAAGCAAAAACCAGAAGAAAAAAAAAATTTGAGCACATAAAAAATTAGGGCTGCCAATCCATAAATCGCGAATCATTTTAATCGAAACCGAATTTTAATCGATGAACCGAATTTTAATCGATTAACCGAATTTTAATCGATCCTCCCTGAATCCTGTCCCAGGCGTTGGGAATGACTCGTGCCCATAGGCGAGCCTCCGGAAGTGGCTCGAGGCGATGCGGTCGCTAACACAGCAGTTACTGTCCATGCATATACTAGTTCACTCTGCGAGTGACACGTTCCAGTCGAAAAGAAAATCGTTACGATTTGGCCAGATAAATAATGAAACGTAAGCAAAGAAGCGCACTGAGGCCCTTCGCCATTTCGCCAACCCATAACGGAAGGATGCAAAAATGGGTAGTACTGTAGTATAGTACGTGTCCACTCCAGGATTCCTGTCGACTTTGGCGCGACCATCACTCAGGGGCAAACGCAAGAACATAAGAAGGGAGAGCACAATATTAAGACAGCTGAATTACGCGAGGGGAGGGGGGGGGGGGGGGGGGTGGTTGCGACGAGGCCGACCAGCTGAGGGCGTCGTCAGGAACTCAAACAACATAAAATGCATTGAAGAAGACATTGAAACCCTGCTCAGTGCAAACAACGCGACCGACTGGTTCCACTATCCGCGGGAACTGCTGGTCGCTGCCTTGAACGCAGCGCGACCGATGCGAGGGGCCAGGGACGACGGTTCCGTTCCTGTTCCGTTCCGTTCCGCGATTCCCTCATCCGGGATCGTCGAAAGAAGTTACGAGTTCTCATTATTTCTTACTCATTTACTACGCTATTGTCCCGAGAGGAAACCTACACGATTGGACGTATACTGGGACACTTAATTGCGGTGAGATTAAAAGTTTCATTAACATTTACGAGCAACACAGGATGGAAGAGAAAGAGCAAGGAATAAGAGAGGATTTCCACTTCTCTCGCCTGCCCCCGGCTTTCCCCCTCTCTCCCTTACTTTCCGGGGGGGGCCTCCCACAGACGTTCGCCAGCGCAGTTACGAGTACGCCTCTCACCTCTTCACATTCTCCTCTTTCCCGCCTCTCCTGTCCCATGTCCCTGCCCAACTCCCCCGCTTCCTTCTGTGCTCTCCTTTCCAGCTTCTTCGTTCCGACTTTCTTTTCCAAATTGGCATCCAGTGACTTTTCGGTCGCTCTGCCGTAGACCGCTGTTACCTTAGCCTGACGCGCGAGGCCTGCAAGGATGTGCCTGCAAAGGCCCATGGCCATGCCTTTAAAGGCCCAAGGCCATGCCTTTAAAGGCCGTAGGCCATGCAGGACACGAGATGCGTACCAGTACGCTCATGGACGTGAAGGGGTCAGGAAACTTTTTTTTCTTTTAAATAGTCTGAATGAGATGGCTTTGTTTTTGTGTGCTCCCTTTTTCCAAAAATAGCATGTCGCTTTGGAGGAAGAGTGAGCAGTGCAAAAACGACTACCTTCTACGAGCCATCATTACATTTCATTCCCTCGATAAAGCATTCGTTTCCAGCTGTTTTGCAAAACTACGAACACACGGTAAAATTATAAGGGGCAAATGAAGCATTCAGGGGAAGATTCGGGGGTCGATTAAAATTCCATTAATTTCGAATCATTTTTTAAATCGCGATTAATACTCTGATCAATTAATCGTCTCTTAATCTAACCTAACCGACAGCCCTATAAAAAAAATGAATCGAAAAGGTATTATAAATACGGTACGTGAGAAAACCAGATCCAGACCCGCAATCTTGTGGACATCGGGGGCCCAGAGCTCCCCGGGCAGGGGTTCCTCGATGACCAGGTGCACGCCGTACAGGGCATTGAGGAGGACGTCCAGCCCGTGCATGCACGCCCCCACCGACAGGTACGCCGACACCTTCCCCGGGTGGATGCGGTACTTGTCGTTGCGCACCTGCGCCGTGTAGAACGGCGGGTCCCACATTGCCAGCGGCTGGGTGCGTGAAAGAGGGGGAAACGCCGCGTTTCACGTGAAAGCATTTTTTCAGCGTAAATATATTCTCTATTTAATTATTTAATATATTCTCTTTCGAGAGATCTGAATTCGTAGATTTAAGCTTTGAAAATTGAAGAGGACTAGACTGTCTGGTTTCCATATAGGACAAACAATTTTTCCATGTAGTAGCATATCAATAATTGGAATATAAAAAAATTGTCAACTTTTTAGGGAATTCCAGCCTATGGGCAGCGTTCATTTCAGAATCCACAAACAATGAATTGATGCATCAAAAGCAAACGTCTCCATGTCTCCTCCTTCATGCTCTTTTTACACACAATCATGTTAATTTGTGTAATGGGGGGGAGGGGAGTCAACTGAAACCCAGGCAGAGTTTTTTAAAATTGCCTTCCATTCCTACCTTCACGAATAAAAAAAAAAAAGATCTGAAGGAGAAATGCCATTTAAAATGCTGCATGCAATGGAAGACCTTGGCATCGGGCTGCTGATTCCGCTTGACCCACTCCATGTGCTTCAAGTCCACCTGGGCCCGGGGGGCCAGCTTCTCGGACAGGCTCTCCAGGAACTCCCCCACAAATTCTGGGCTCCTCGCCAGGCTCCATCTCAGCACCCTGTCCATGCAAGAACAAGGCTGTGTATGCAATACCACATCCAACATATGCAAGGGATTCTTCGATGAAAATGGTCACTCAGAACCCAAGAAATTGCTAATTTTCTGCACGAAGTCAAACGAGTCTGTCTGTCTGAACCTGCCGGCCGAGCCGGACCGGACAAGGGCAAGAGGCAACCAAGAGGAAGCATCCACTCATTTTAAATGTTGCCGAGTTAAAGCTGTTAACTTTATTTTTACCACTTATTTAATTTATATATGTGGGAAATCATTGACAAACGCTCAATGAGACACCCTGGAAATATCCTGCTGATAAATTGCATGGCGTCAAAATTCACGTACAGGTGGAAATACCTGTTTTTTTTTTGGGCCACATTATAGATAAAACAAGAAAATATATGGGATTCTTCCTCAGAGCAGCAGAGAAGTGGACTCTTTGATGCATTTCAATTTCTTCTTCATTTGGCTCCTGTTAAATTGACTAGCCTACTGACAGACATTTTAAAATTCAAATGATATCATTCAGCAATTTCAGTGAAAGTTCCACTGATACTGAATCACATGATGTTACTGCCAAAATTTTGGCTCACGGCTGACTTATCATAGGACGGAAAAAAATGCAGGAGGCATCAATGTTGTTGCCTCTATCTTTCTGACACATGTACCGATAGTCCTGCCATGTTACCCGAGAGATGAAATTTGGGAGCACCAGTCACAGAAAAATAATAAAGACATAATAATGGACAAAACTAGGGGCAGGGCTTCTGGGACACCCTGTACACCTACATCCAGACACATCCAGACACATCCAGACACATCCACTCACCGGTGACTGTAGGAGGGGAAGCCACAGAAGGAGGCCATCTGATGGCGAGCCAAGAGGAGTTCCTCGAGCAGGGATTCCTGCTCTGCATCCGGCTTCAGGAACAGCCTGTACGACAGCTCCCTCACCGACTCCGTCGATGCATCCGCGTGGAGACCCGTTACCACGTAGTTGTCTCCATCACGTGGGAACCTGAACACGTACATGCTACCTTCAAGTTTCATACGTCTACACATACAAAGAGCTGCTCTTACAAAAGCTCCACCTGTACAACATAAAACTGCAAGTACAAAACAATGTAAAAAGGAATTTCCAGTTTGTTACTTTCTTTCCAATTCATGTGAAAGTGTCACTTTACTCCTCATGACTGCATAGAAAGGAAATCAGATTGCAACAACAACCATCTTATATCAATCCAGTTGCAACTCTCAACTGGATCAAGATGACTCCAAATTCTGTTATGTCCAAAAACTGCCAGAGAAAAGAAAGTCAGAGAAGGAAGGTTAAGAGAGCCAACACGGACGGATGCGGGACATCCTTGGGAATGTCGGCTGCAGGGACGAGTCGGGGATGCGTGGTGCCGGCTGTGAATCGCTGGCCCAGAAGGAGGATGTAGTCGTTCAGCTTGGCCACTTGCTCCCGCTTCCCCTCTCCCAGGTGGATCCCGCACTGCTCGAAGTCGAATGCGAACAGGTGGGCGACCCGGTCGTCGATATCATCGGTGGGGACGTGGTCGCCGTTCACTAGGACGTGCTTCAGGGCATCATACAGCTTGCGATTTGTGTTCAAGCTGGTTGGGAGAAAAAATGTTCCAAAGAAATTCCTGAATCATTTAAGCAAAAATTGGAGGTATTTTTAAACTGGCAATGATTAAAAATTTTAATATAACATTTGAGGGGTTTGAAAGGGACTGTGGGTATTTCATGAACACCTCAGAAGATTTGAAATTGGTGACCCTAAAAAAAAAAAATAATATCTTCTCTGAATGTAAATATGAACTTTTAAATTAAAATGTGCATACTGTAGATTGCTCAACCCTTTGAAAGTTCAATTTCTGGTAACTATGAGGACGTTAAAAGCAGATCCAACAAACCGTTCAACCAAGGCACTGATGCCAATGGAGGCATTCTCAGCAGCACGGGTGAATTTTGACTGCGGGTGAGCAACCCTGATGAACTCGGCCAGGTCAGCCACTTGGCACAGGCAGTCGGACAGGTCGTCGAAGATCTCCACGATCTTACGGGTTCTACCAGACATGGGGATGATCAAAGTGCAGGTAGGGATATCAAGAGGTGCTTACACCAATTGTGATGTCATGCAACAAGGACAAGCATTAATGCAAAACAATATAGGCTTATTTCTCTTAAAAACTGAAATTTTTGTGGGAAAATATTCATGCAATGCCTAATCACTCACAGCTACATTGCTCCCATTTTTTGTAGTTCAGTCCATGAACCACTATTCAGATTGAGCAGGCAGCCACTACATTGTCACCAAACTATTCCATATATTCACTACTCCACATGTAAATAAGTTTTATCACAACCTGAGTTTCACTTGGAGTTTACACAAATTGAAGCAGTTGCCACTTGTTTCACAGTCACAGTCAAAGTTGGAAGATGGAAGAATATATGATACCATGCTTCATATTATTGAATCCCTTGATTCCCTAAATAGATTCAATTGTCTTTGATTTAGTGAGAAGAGCCCCAATGCTTTTAAATGCTTCTCAAAAGTCCTCATGGCTCTCATGTAATTTTAAAAGCTTGCCTCTGAATCCTCTCGAGCACCATCAGCTAATTGTTCTTTACAAGCCTCGTGAACCAAATGCAATATTTTAAATAGGGTCTAACCAGTGCTCTAGTCCGAACATTTCTGCAGCCAGCGCTGCGGGTGACAGAATGACAAACCGGTGGGGGTTGAGGGCTTCCTGGACGAGATCCTCACTCCGAGTGATGGCCCGCTCCTTCAAGAGATAGAAACCCTCTGGGGATTTCAGTTCTGGCACTCCAAATAAACCCTGAAATACATCAGAGACACTCAATGCAGACTAGTGAAAACAATCCATGGAAAAGTAGGATGAGGTCATGGCTCAGTATTAATCTACAATTGCTGAATGGATTCTATTTATTGTTAAGTGAAGCATGAATTACACTTGGGCCAACTCAGGGACTAAAAAAAAAACAGAAGGATAGTTTAATTCAGCTGGGAAGTAGAAAACAAGCAAACCCATATTCTTTTCTGTTCAAGCTCTTGTGGAAAGAAGAGTGAGAAACAGAAATTATTCACTTAGCAAACAAGCCCACCAGAATTGATAACATAATCAGACATGAAACAGATGGCAAGAGCTACTGGGAAAAAAATTGGCCATTGTGACTGAATAAGTTCAAAGAAAATAATTTGGAGCAAGGAAACATTGAATGCCTACAGTGTCTTCTCTAAGGAGACTGAGGTTGAGCTTGGAGAGCGGGCGAGCATTGAAGGCAGATGCGACGGGGGACCATGTCGACAAGCACCTCGACGAGCGTATCGCCAGATGACGATGGCCCACCTTGCACAGGTCCCGGACAACTCCCCCAACCTTCATCTTGCTTCTGTCCTCATCTGAAGGGACTCAAAGACTAGCAGATGAAGTTGGGCATGCCTAATTTAAGTCAAGAAATGATGTCCTCATGGGAAATTCTTGAATTCTATGGATCTGTTGCACATGGTAAAATAGAGTTCTATTACTTGCAGGACAAATTGCCCTACCCTCTATAATATGATACCATCTCATATAAAAACCATGAAAGCACACAATTATCATTCATCAATACTGCATTTTTCACTCGAGTCAGACATTTCTTAAACTGAATACGACACTCACACGTGACAAATGTCTTTCATGAGTGTCAGAGTCAAGTGAAAAATTGTTTGACTGAAGGGAAAACACTAACTCTAACAACTGAAAAAGTGAAGAAAAAAAACTTGAAAACACAAGTTTCTTGCAATATATCCAATTGCTATTAGGGCTCCCAGAGGATAACAATAATATTGGACATTTGAAAAAAATTATTACAAGTGAGGTTTTATCAGAAATAAAATATGAGAGTGAGAACTACTAATAGTTTTCCTCAGATGCAGCCAATTCCATTGAGGGAATTCCGTTGCAATCATCCTTGCAACAGGGGCAAGAACTTGGAATTCATTAGACCAAAATGTTTGCATGCACAACAGAAAGAGAGATCTGAAATTGGAGAAGACTGATTGGAGTACATCACACCTGCAGTCATTTCAGTTGATGCACATGTAAATTTGGACTCTAAAACAAAGGGTTGGTCGCAAGAACAAAACTTTTTTAATGAAGGTGTAACGAATAGGATTCTTCAGCCAGGAAGTCCTGGTAATATGCATTAAATAGAAATATCTAAAACACATGTAAAATGTGCATTTTAAAAAGACATGAAGGTAAAAACATGACAAGGGTACCTGCAGGGCAAAAGGACTTTTATTCTTTCTTCGACCAAGACACTTCATGTAATAGGCAACTTCTTAAGATAGAAATAAGTAAATGTTTTGCATACAGCAATGTTGCCAGATTCCAGCTTAGCAGCATGCATGAATCTTCAGACTTTTCCCATCCACCAAGTACATCTTGCATACAATTGTCAATGCTTTCTTGTCAATTTAAAATCAATTGGAAAATACATAAATGATGAAACTACTGGAAAAGAGTGCAAATACATTTATGCAATTTAAATACGTATGAAATTTGAACTCAAATCATGCATTCTTATACAGTGAGGGACAATATATACAAAAATATGCACAATAAAATTTCCCATACAAATGGACTTGTGAAAAAATATGCATATGCACGAAAATCTTTTCATGTCATGACTAAAAATGAACACGAACTGGGCAGGACCAGTCCACAAGGAAACCTCACACCATTGCAATAATATATAAGCATAATATATATTAAAATTTGATGCATCTTATTCGATGCCACAACTATTGGCAACATTGGTGCAATATCTGCAATGCAAGGAGATGTTGGTAGCTGATGACTTGGATCACAGCTGAGCCATGCTTATCTCTCAGTTCCATCATGCTTGTCAATGAGATGTCTATGAGACTTCAAAATTGAACTGCCAGTCGAAAAAAAGTTCATTTGTGGATTATATTTCTCAGAAACAAATTAGACATTAAGTGGATCATACTCATGAGTTATTGGTATGATTACTTTTTAATTCAATTAGATTCTTGCAAATTTTAAATAAATCTTTATGCAAGCATGCAAACAGCAAAACAAGTCATTCCACAAAGAATCTCACTTGCTTTTAAAACCAATGTCAAAAAAAAAAAAACTAATTGGGAACTGCACAAGAAATAAGAGCTAGAGTGAGGAACACAGAGGGGAAACTTTTATTGTACTCAAATGCACCTGTGCAACTTGGTTGGTTGGATTCTTCATGTTGCTGCAGTGGCTCCTGAGGTCCGTCTTGAAAACACAAAAGAACAAAAATGATCCTTTCAGAGAGATGCTTCATCTGATTGGCACCTGAGATGCTCCTTGAGATACTGGCTTGCTCTGAATGCCTTTTGTACGAGTCAGATGGTCTGAACTTGATGATGATTGTAGTCAATTATTGGTTTACCGGTTGTGGTCAATGACTGATTTTGTGATCATTGTCAATTGTCTTCATCATCCATATCCTTCCCAGGTTGGGTGTTCAGGATCACAATTGGGGAAATGAGGATTGCTTCCCTGGACTCCATCTGGACATTTACATATTCAAGGCACTCATTCTCATGCATCACAGAGTAAATCTCATTATGCTTGGTTATTTTTCTTTCTATTCTAAATACCAGTTTTCATTCAAAGAGAATTATTTTCCTTGCAAATAAATTAAAAGAAGTCATATTAAAATAATATAGTTTAAGATCTGGTATCAAAGCATATACACTAGATTGAATGAATGGATTAGCTGGCATCAGCAATAAATCAATATTGATGATTCATTTTGCAAATAGCAAACAGAGTAAAATATTGGCTTTGAAACATTTTCATTCAAAAAACCCAAAATTGCAATTACATTAAAAAAATTAACACATTTTGAGGAATTATATCAGGTGTTAACCTTACTTTTAAATATTTACTATAAATTAAAATTCAATTACCTAACTGCTCAAAGTTTTGCTAGGAATAATATAAATTTTATTTAAATTAATATATATATATGCAGGCTTGCTAGAAAGCCAAAACAAAGGCTTCTGTGATTGCAAACTGATTAAGTAATAGTTAGTGGATGGCAAATTTAATATTTAGCAAAAAAAAAGGAATGAAAACCTTGCAATTTTATTTCATTCATAACATACAGAGAAGAAACAAGGAGTCAATAATAACGATATGACTTAATCAAATTTTGAAATTTTAAGAGCAAGATTACGTCTTTTAAGCAGAAACACAATGTAAGCAAAAATCTTTCCTCCCTTAAATGATTATGCCTTCATTCCATTCCATTACAGTGTAAAATGTGTCTTCAAGTTTGCAACAACTGAGTGGAATTAAAATACATATAGGGAATTTCCAAATGTAATTAAGGCCATTGCAAAAACAGGACTGTGAAATTGGAGATGTTATTAGCAATTCACATCTCCATAGGTCAAGCCAGACACTTACGCTTTCCTCGGACACTGCCTTGAGAGATCCCTCTTCGTGATTCCCACTCGAATGGACATGAGCCATATGTCCAAGATATCTCTGCTTTGTTTTGAAGGTGAAATTGCACAGGTTACAGGTGGTGGTGGCATGGCCACGACGGTGCCGACGTAGCTTCGGCCTCATCTTGAATGCCATGCCGCACAGGTCACACTTGAAAGGCCGTTCATCTGAATGCCTGTATTGAATGTGGTACTTCAGGTTATGGCTCTGCTTGAAAGTGCACCCGCACAAATCGCACCGGTAGGGTCTTCTCTCCGAATGTCCCACTCGGATGTGCTTCGACAGAGTGCGTCTTGTTTTGAATCCTGAACCACAAATGCTGCAGGCAAAGGGTCTTTCAGCAGAGTGGGAAGTGTCAGGCTTCTTTTTTCTCCTCATAACACTGTTTCCCTCGTCCTTTACCCTCTTCTCAGGTGATTCACAATTCATGGCGTTCACAGCATTAGCGATGTCACTTTCACTGATTTCCACTTTCACCTCTAGAAGAGTGGGGTGGTTCAACACTGCTGCTGCAGAGGGACAATCTTGAAGGCAACTAGACTTCAGCAGGGAGTCTTCTTCCCTAACACCAGAATCTGGAGAATGCTCTCTCAGGGCCTAAACAGGGATGAAAAGTAATAACTTAGAATAACTTTCAGCCTCATGGAAATTGATATACTAAGGAGTAAACAGAAATTTTTCTGCACCATGTGAAGTTCAGATGTAGGTGAGACACACTCTGAACAAAAGTGAGCAATGAGAAGCATATGGCAGGCTATGAAAAAATTATGCAGCAGCCTGAAAGTGTACTGCTTTTCCTGATTCACTTGACTCTATGCTTTACCTTCATTTTTGTAAGATAATGAGTTAAGCATTTAGTCTAATGCCTAACCTAGGATGTTGACATTAACCAAACTGCCACAGTCTTAGGGATCAGGTTGGCAACATGGAGGGATGGGCCTTGATAGTTACATAATGGTCACCTGCAAAATGGTCTTGGGCCTCAAGATCTTCAATGATTAGCAATATATCCAGATGAACTTTCACTGGATTAGTCTTAGGGCTATTTTCAGTGCTGGTCTGGAGCACTCTATGATGATCTCCAAACATGATCTTACCGTTTCCTCAGACTCTTCTTCACACTTCTCACTTGAATGAGCACAAGTCATGTGTTCATCCAGACTCAGCTTTGTGTCAAAGCTGGAGCTGCACAGGTGACATGTGTTGGAATGGACACTCTGGTGCCTAATCAGGTCCTGCTTCCCCTTGAATGCCTTCTCACACGAGTCGCATTTGAAAGGTCTATCATCCGAATGCCTGTACCGGATGTGCTCCTTCAGGGCATGCTTCTTCTTGAACCAACTTCCACAGATACTGCATCCAAAATTTCTGTCTTCCAAATGATGCTCTTCTGATCCCTAAATGGGGAAAAATGAATGCATTGCAAGAAAACTTAATCCTTTCAGATCTGGCATCCATTCCAATGGACATAGCATTTTCATTGTGTCTATGATATTTTCTTAGGATTCTTGAGACGTTGTGCTCCATATTACACTACAATGGGTACAATTATGCATGGCTCAATTCCATTGGAGGTCTCTTTCACCTGTCAGTTTTGTAATCTTTATTTATCTAATTAAATGTGTAAGATATTTATATATGGTATGATATGGTAAATTTATACAAAATATAAAAAAAATATATGGAACATACAAATTAAAATAGCAAAAGAGCAAAAAAATGCAAAAAAGGACATTATTCCAATAGTGGCCTTAACTCAGGTCTGAAAAGCTTAAGGAACTAGCAATAAGTTTCACAGTTGTCATGTTGTTTCCAATTGGAGACAAATTTTCATGTGCAGCTTACTCATTGAAATCATGTAGCAAACACTTCATGAAAGGACAGATATCCAAGTGAAAGAAACTATAGCCATCTGGTTTGGAAATAGCTTCAGATATATGCTAATTTGTGGTAAATTTTTTTGCCCAATCCTTGAATTTGCCAGGCTACCACAGGGGAAGAAATGTTTCCTGAATGATCTGAAGCTGCCATGCAACATTATGCAAAACAAGTTTCAGTAAGAAAATTAATAAATTACAGGCACTCAAGAAGGGACTGAAATAGGGATGTGAGAATGAGGAGATATTGAACCTTTTTTCCTTTCTTCTTTTCATTCCTTTCTTTCTTACCTTTTTCTCAGACTCTACTCCCTGGTTTTCATCTGAATGGACATGACCCATGTGCTCATCAAGACTCTGTTTTGTCTTGAAGGTGGAACTGCACAAGTGACAAGCATTTGTGGTGTGGCTATGGCGATGTCTGGCCAGGATCTGTTTCACTTTGAACGTCTTGTCGCAAAGGTCACACTTGAAAGGTCTTTCATCCGAATGCTTCAATCGGACATGGTCCTTCAGCACGTGACTGTGTTTGAAGCTGTGCCCACAGACATCACACCGGAAGGGTCTCTCGTTGGAATGCTTTGCTCGGATGTGTGACTTCAGGCTGTCCCTGGATCTGAATCCACAGCCACAAATGTCACATAGGTCTATGAAAGGTCTCTCACTGAGGTGGGGAGCTGCAGGCTTCCTCCCTTCATCCTTCTGTCTCTCACTTTTCCTTTCTCTTGGCTTATCACCAGCGTTGTGAGCATGAGGTTCAGAGTTTGAAGGATCCAGAGAATCATCTTTTGTGCAGTGACTCTAAAAGGGGAGAAATTTACATTCTTGGAAATTTGAAGAGACTCTCTATGAACCAAATAAACTTTGCATGCACATCAAGTTGTAAGCAAAAATAATTTTGGCAGATGGTTCAGTAGAAACCAGCAGAAACATTACAACCAAGTGCCCTATTCATCAATCTGATTCAACACTGGATTGAGACATGTCACAGATTCTATCACAAAAAGGATGGATCTTAATATAAAACAATGATATCTCCATGGAGAGATAGAATGAACTCACCCCATCCTCCTGAGACTGATCCAATTTCACCTGGGAGTGGAACATGGTCATGTGCTGGCTGAGACCCTCCTTCCAGTTGAAGCTGCGCCCACACACATCACAGGTGAACCTCTCCATGTTGGAATGGCAGAGGGCATGTCGCTTCAGGTTTCTCTCACGTGTGAAGGTCTTGCGGCACAAGTGACACTTGAATTCTGTTAAATGCCTCGATTGAACATGGAGGTCAAACATGTCTTTTGAGCTGAATGTGGATCCACATGTTTCACATATGAAAGGTCTGGCACGCTTTCTTCGCCCTTTCCTCACATTTGTAATGGCATCACCACCACCAAGCTCAAGAGATTTGGGATTTGATTCACTGGGAGCATCGATGTCAGTTTGAGTAAATTCAACTTTAACTTTCTCTATTGGAGGACAACCTATGGCAGACCCACAAGATTCCAGCACCCTCACAGGGCAAGAGGCTTCCTCCTAGGGAGAAAGAATAAAAAATGAAGAATGAGTTGTCTAAATCAGGAATAAATGCTTGAAAAATTACAGAAAAAAAACTGGTCTCTACACATGAGAACGATCTCCAGACACTTGTGAGAGGCAAGTTAGGTCATACCATCAAATTTCATTACCTGCACATACCCAACAATACCTTCCAAATGACTGCAATAGAGTCATTTAACCTTATCATTTAACCTAAATATAAAATTTTTTCTGGGTATAAGAGTATCATAAAACACACCAATGCTTCAGATAATGACTGCTGTGCTACATCATCATGAAGGATCATCTCAGTCTCCCCTGGAAAGTACTGCAGACAATCCAGCACAGGAGTGGGCAGGATGTATTCAACTCCACCTGGAAAATGAGAGAGGCTACATCTCACATTTGTTTCATGGCAAAGGGCTATGAATGAGAAAATTCCTCACTGCTTTCAATTTCACTGAAAGGGGAATCCAAGCTCTCCCGTTTGATGATAGCATCCTCAGCTAACATATTTAATACCTACTGAATAAATAATTAAATTATGATACACAAAGAAATATCAAGTACGAGAGGCCACTGTGTCATTGTGACCTTATAAAGCCATCAAGAAATACTTCTGTCAGGAAGGGTCTCAGAATCATTTTTCCAAACTTCTGCATCTAAATTGCAGAATTTGTGGGAAACATATTGAAGATTTTTTTTCAGCTGGAAAATATAAACATGCAAGCTACTTCTGCTTGATCTGCAGGCCTTTACATGAAAGGGCCTTAGATGATTGCAACCTCAAGTGAAAAACAAAAAAAGTTGCCAGTACTGAATATAGGGGACAATAATCATAGTAAAATCATGTGTCTGGATTTTTCTGCCAATCACTTTGGCATTCCAGATGAGCTTGCATTAATTTATCATAATCTCGAGCCAGTCTCATGCGCCATCAGGAACATGGATACCACAAAACTGACTCAAAATGAGACAAGTTTAGCATAAGCTGGAGGTTGGGGTGATTGCCCCTTCCTGGCTGAGGCAATGCTCACCAGCAGCTTCACACTTTTTTTTTTACTGATTGCATGCAAGATACCAGCAGTTCATAATATTTCTTGGCACTTGATTAGAATAATGTCTGCTCAATAATACTTGCTCAATAAAATACTTTTTCTTTTGGGAGGGTCAAACTGTAAATAAACAAAAATCCAGAAAATCCCTTCTAAATGAGCATTCACTTCCAAATACCATATAGACAGTGGCGTAGCCAGGTTTTCGTCAATGGGAGGGGTAAGTGGAAAGTTGGGGGGGCTAACTTCGCCTCGTCGGGGTGGGGCAGACGCATTTCAACCAGAGTTGGGGGGGCTTGAACCAAACTTGGGGGGGCTTCAGCCCCCCCCGTCTCCCACTCACTACGCCACTGCATATAGAATGTCTTCAGACACTACCAAATTAGATTGATATTCAGACAAGTCTTAGAAGATGTTCAGTTTCAGCAAAATAAAAGTAAAACCCAAAATGACTGATAAGTCTATCACTATTTTCCATCCTTGTTACAAATTATTAAATACAATTTAGTTTCCTATCCCAATATTTTTTTTTACTGCATATGACCTCAACAGAGAGCCACTTTGCACTACATTTCTTATACAGAGGTCAGAATGAATATTAAATAACATTTCCAAATTTTTTTCATTAATAATGGCAGATATGAAGAGATTCATACTTTCAGGGTCTGACTTAAAGCACATCCTCATCTGCTCAGAAAAAAAGGGGTGACTTACTAACAGCATCACAAACTGAATGGCAGAGTCATCTCCATGTATTACAGCTGTCTCAGTGAACGAAACAAAAAATTGCTGAATTCAAGATGACTCTGAATCCAACCAAATATATTTAACTTCTTTCAGTAGCTTTGCTCATAGAAGTACATAAAGCACACCACACATTGAATTGTAATGTAACAATCAACGACCAATTTTATTTTTTGCTCAAGCCTCCTTCCCAGAAACAAGCATTGGACTTGGTACAAGAGGCAAAGTGAAGCAATGGACAAATCCATGCAATCGTTCATATATGAAAGTGTTTGGTTGAGAAGAGAATTTTGCAGAAGTTCAGGAATACCTTCCAGGAAACAAGGGCAAATACTGGCATAGTGCACATCATGCCCTAATATGCTGAACAAATGAACCATTGGCCAAGGCTTGCCAAAAACTGCACCAGACAAATTTGCACCATATATTCCATCTAAAAATATTTAAAAATCTAATGTCTATCTGAAGGAATTTTTGCACCATGCTGAACCTAGTGGATGTGGTACCACAAATACCAATAATGAATTAATATGACCTGCACAATTGCACAATTGGTTAGCACATGAATGATAGATTACTCAAAGCTGACAGTCAGATTCAGTGAATGAAATTCTACATAGCACTACATTTTCTAAAAGGTTTTTCCCTGGGTATCATTCTTGAAAGGCCTCTCATCAGAGTGGATACAGGTCATGTGATTGTTTAGGCACTTGCCACAATTCAACATGGCTGAGCAAATTGTATCAATCCTGATAGCACAAACAAATGTGACAGTCACAAGGGCTTTCTCTTGAGTGCCTTGAATGATACAAATTGTAATAACGTTTGCCACTGTTCATGAAAATTGACCTTCATGTACAAAAATGGAAAGTCATTTTTCTGAATGCCATGAATTTGTGTGGAGAATGAGATTATATCTGTTCTTGAAAGCAAGTTGACAAACATCACATGTGAAGGGTCTGTCTTCAGAATGCACAGGGCTGTGTCTAGTCAGACTCTGCTTGAAAGCACTTCCACCATTGTCATCTGCAAGGGAAAAGTCTTCCAAATGCCTCAAGTGCACATGGCTGACTAGAGAGCTTCTCACCTTGAAGGCATTTCCACAAATGTTGCATTTGAAGGGTCTGTCTTCTGAATGCCTCAGTCTGACATGGTGTAACAGACTGTATTTAGTCTCAAAATTGCACATACATATATCACATTTGAAGTATCCATCTTCTGAATGCCTGGAGATGTGATCAGTCCGACGGCATCTCTTCTTGGGACGAATTCTCCGAATGGGCCATTTGAGTGGTGTTTTATTCCGGACAGTGGTAGGCATCTTTGTGGTCTCTTTTATTCTATTTTCTTTTCCCAAAGATTCATGACTGAGTCTATGGGTCTGTTCAGAATCAGTTTTGTGGCAGTCAGCTGCCACTGCAATGTGAATAAGGCTTTCTGACTCTGCTGCTGCAGTGACACGATCCTCTTTGACAAAATCTCCCAATTCATGCCCAGAAAACACAGCCTGTGATGAGAGAGAAACAGGTTTAAACATTAAATATAACATTTTCAGATGTGACATGCATTGACCTTTTACCCTAAAGAAGCCTAAGGCACACAACTGGAGTGTCCTGCAGGAAAAATCTGTTTATCAGAGTGTCAATACTACTTAAAGGGTACCTGCAGGTAGGGCACTAAGGGTGTCACCAAGGTTGGAGGCCCTCATGACCATGCATCAGTGACCAATATGTTTTTGAAGTAGCATCATATACTTTTTTTTACTTAGCTAAAATCTCATGTTTAATGATTCAATAGTAGTCTAAAACCTTGACCATTCTTTTTTAAGATACATAAATTCAAGGTCCCTGGATCTAATAAAAGTTGCAGGGGAGAGGAAATTGTGATGACAATGCTGCAAGTTGTAGACATCATTTGACAACACCTAAGTGTACTCCTGAAATTCTGGAAGCACCTAAGAGAAAGTAAGAGTGATCTTCTCCCAACAGTAACTAGAATCAACCAGGAGCAGCTGCAAAAAATGAGTTGTCAGACCTCATGACACCGAGATGAATCTGTTTCATCATGTTACCTTCTATGATGAAATGAACTGAATCTAATAATATCATCCTTCACTCAATTATTTAACTATATTGTACCTGGGAGATAGTTTGACAATAATTAAGGTGTGATTCCCTTTCCCTCTGGGCTGGATGGGATAGTAACAAACTAATTTGAAACTATAAGGAAATGCAATCCACACACATCTCACTTTTACCATACGACTTTTTTTTGCTTCTTTGACACTTTTGCATGACCACATAAACTCATGAACTTACTCTGCCTTTAGGAAGTGAATTCTGTGAACCATCAGGCTTTCTTTTGGAATGAAAGCAGGATGTGTGTCGGTCCAGGGCACACTGTCGGCTGAAGCTCTCATTGCAGAGGTCACATCTGTATGGCTTTTTGCTGTGGTCATACAGTCTTTTGTCTGAGTGTCTCTGTCGCATGTGGTACTTCATTAGGACTTTCACCTCGAAACCAAATCCACAAATGTTGCACACAAAAGGACTTCCAGTCAGATGGAAAACTCCAGAGTTCCTCCCTTTGTTTGTATCTTTCATAGTCTCATTAGCACTGTCATTTGGAGATTCAAGGTGCAATGGGTCTTCATGCTCCTCTGTGATGCCAGCGAATTCTACTTTCACTTCTGAAAGCCTGGGATGGTCTATCTGTATTGTTGGGATTTGGCAATCTTGCAGACCATGCTCAGGTGATTTCAATGTTGTTGAAGGTGAACCTTGATCCTTGTTGATGTATCCAGGTCTGGCAAACTCAGTCTGAGGGAGAAAGGGCAACATTATACAAATTGTGATGTCATTTTTTGCTATTAGTGGAGGGTAAAAAAAGTTAATCAACCAAATAAGCCATTGTGCCTCATTTGTATTGGCATGAGTAAGTAAAAAAACCCCATATTTACTGTGAAATACTGCAGAAAAGGTAACTGCAAAAAAAAGATAACTCATTGAGGCCTATTCTTATGCATAACCTGGCACACATTCTATCATATTATAAATAAGATAAGAAATGCATTAAAATTTTGGTGTCAACTGCAACCCTTGTAATCTATCAGTTCAGCAGGGGAACTCACACTTTTTTTCAGAAGCAGTTTTTGATGATAACATGATTTTCTATTTGAACTGGGGCAGGAGGACAGATGCCGCTTCAGACTGCACTGCCGGCTGAAGCCAAGGTCGCACAAGTGACACCTGTATGCCTTCTCTCTGGCCGTCACATCATCACGTCCCTCCAGACTCTGTTTCAGCTGGTCACATGTGAAAATGGCTTGGTAAGGCTTCAGTGCTCCACTGTCACTTTTCTCAGCTTCATAGCAGGCTCTGTCCTCAGTAGGTTCAAGGCTCAAGGCTTGAGAGTATTCATCACTTGTTCCAATGAATTCTACTTTCACAACTGAAGCCTGTAGGTCATCCACCAGCATTGCTGCAGGAAGAGAGTGCTGCCGAAAGTGTTCATCTGTTATCATTTTCTGCACCAGAAACAAACAGCAAACCTGGTAGGAATAATCTGAGAAGAAAGCATGGTCAAACTATAATAAAATGACCACAAATTTTAAAATCAAAATCAAAATCAAAATCATGGTTAAGGTTCAAAGAAAAATAAATATAGAGTGAAAACTCAGCACTTCAAGGTCTACATCCTTTGTTGACTTTTCAGGTGAGAATGCAATCATTGATATAGATGTAAAAGGTAAATGCATACTAACAGCAGGGTCCAACCAATGGACTGATGGCTTGTGTTGATAATGAAAAACACATTTTTCTAACACAGAGAGACTGAACCATGCTATAGATAAACTATTGATAATTTGCCAGGTAAGACAGGCAGCAGAGTATTGAGGGAGAAAAGTGTGGGGAGGGGGGGAGGGAAATCAGCAGCAAAGCCTGAAAGGAGACAAGAGATGGCAAGCAGCCACAGCCTTGAAAGAGCCAGAAGGAGACTGCAATAGAGTATCAGGTCACATTCACACATGCAATGGTTCCCCCTTCTCCTTGCCTTGTTATCTTTTTTTTTTATTTTGGGAGGGGGAGGGGGGAGCATCAGCACTTGCAACATCAAACCTGAAAATGGCAGTGTTGGTCAGAGGTTTGTACCAATGGATGCCACTGATATCAGCCTCTGACTCCATCAGTGCCATTGTCAAGATCATCAATGCAGCAACAGTAAATATGCAACTGTATGCATGCATTACACTATAAAAGTCAGGTATTGCTGATTCTGGAAGCACTGGTGTAATGGTGGCAGATAGGACCACCTCCCACCTCAATATTCCATCACTGCTTCTTTTTCCATTGAAACTAATTGTATGAAAGGATCCATCATCTCATGTACAAACAAAATACTTTGCATTTTCTGTAACATTAGCATGTTAACAAACATCATCACCAAGGTATCACAGGTCAAGTAAAGAATAGATGTGTACAGTACAGCAGTCATAACCTATCACAAGTTGACTTGCACACAACTTTTCAGCACTGGTACATAACTTGCCATTCATTTAGAGGTCAATCAGTTAAGAAAAAATTGTATATGCATTGTCCTCTAATCCAGTCCTTTCACTGAGAAAACTTCTTTTGCAAGCATTCCTGTTGGATTCAGAACCAATAGATCCTATTTAAAGGCTCAAATGTGAATATTATTTGTCATTCAACATTCACTGACTAGCTGCAAGCCAGACAATGGTATAAACCAATGCCCCAGTTTTAAATCATACTCATGTCCTTGTACTCAGACCTGGAAAATTCAGTGAAAATACTTTGCTGCAAGAACTCTTGAAGAGAAAAACCATGCATCTCAACATAAGTTCAAAAAGGCAGATATTGAAAGGATTCAGATCAATAACTTAACTGAATCAGATATCAACACAATGGCTGATGGAATCATATTAAAGGCACTCTTTTAATTTGCATTCATCATCAACCTGCTGTGTCACCAAGAGAGGGTATCATCCAATGCATCCAAATGGAGAACCATTCAGCTAAAATCAGAAGCATCTTGACTGCAAAGCAAACTATAATATGAGTTTATCTTTTTTTGGTCTGGAAAAAAGGATTTGATGCCTCAAATGACAAGGAGGGAACAAGGATGATGAGAAAAGGTATACTTCCCACATCTTTCTTGATGTCATGCCAAAAATAGAACAATTTGGCCATGGAAGATTTATATTATTTAAGCAATGTGGTAAAGCCGTATCAGAGAGTGGATTTTCAGAGTCACTAAAGCATTATGCATTCTTACTTTCTCCCTTCTTTATTCCTATGACTAACTAACATGAAGCAGCCCAATCCATCAAGGTCTGAACTATACCATTGGCATACAACTCATAGCTTTGAAGGCTCTACAAGGCCACAAAGCTCCCAAAGGATCATCTTTGATGACAGGCATGCTGAAGATGAAAAACATGCAAGAGAAAATGAGCCAGTTCTAGTCAATTACTTTGCACATGCTACAAAGTAACTGGCTAGAGGGGTACAATGAAACCTGGTAAAGCAACACTTGCAAGATTGAGACTGCATGCAAAACAAGAATTATGAGAAATTCCTTTTTTGCATTCACATATGCACAATAGAAGATAATTACAAAATAGGAACTCAAAATGCAGGGCAAGGAAAGGATTGCAATAGGATCCCTTTGTATCCAAAAGTACATAAATAACTTGTTTTTTTTTTTTCCCCAGTCTCATGCATCGTCATAAAGAACTTTTCCAACTATTTAAATATATTTTTAAATGTCAAAACTAATGACTGCTATTTCCAATTGCTAAATAGCTTGTTTCTGCCTCAAAATCATTTAATTGAGAAACAATCTTTGAATACTGGAAAAGAGATACATGCATTAAACCAAGACCTTCTGCATATGAAAATAAAATTACAATCAGCACAAACACATGGACTGGTGTCGTACCATGTCACATGTCATACCATCAAACAACACTTCATATTTAAAAAAAAGGTGGAAATTAATTAATTCAGAAAGCTTCCAAAAAACTGCATCAGAAGAAGCTTACCAAATATTCCAGAAAAGAAAATCAGAGGACTTAGGCACAAAGCAATATCTCTTCTGATATGTTCCTGATGAATGTGACAGCCTCTTCAAATTTTGCAGTGTCAGGATGAAGAAGCAGAACAAGGTAAAGAACACTTGTGTAATGCTTCTCATCTGTGAGCAATAGTGTGGCTCTTCAAATAATCCTTCCTCATCCTTCCCACAAAATTGCAGGCAGATGGCTTCAGGTCAGATTGGAATTCAAGATTCAAATATCATGTTATTATGACACTCAAAGGCGTATCTTCTGAATGACATGAATTGACATGATCAGTCAGGGTGCGTCTCTTTTCAAAACCACATCCACAAACATCACATTTGAAGGGTCTGTCTTCTGGATGCTTTGATCTGAAATGGGCAGCCAGGTTACTTCTCGTCTTGAAAGCACACCCACAAACGTTACATCTGAAGGGTCTGCTCTCTGAATGCTTTGAGTTCAAATGGGAGGCCAGGTTGCTTCTGATCTTGAAAGCACAACCACAGATGTGGCATGTAAAGCGTCTAATATCTGAATGCCTTGAGTTAATATGGTCTGTCAAAACACAACTCTTCTTGAAAGCACTTCCACAAATTTTACATTTGAAAGGTCTGTCTTCCAAATGCCTTGACTTGACATGGACAGTGAGATTGCTTCTCTTCTTGAAAGCATGTCCACATATGTGACATTTGTAGGGTCTGTCTTCCGAATGCCTCGATTTGATGTGGTGAGACAGCGTGCCTCTCTGCTTGAAAGCACACCCACAAATATCACATTGGAAGGGTCTCTCTTCGGAATGTCTTGAGTTGATGTGGTCAGTCAGAGTGCCTCTCTGCTTAAAGGCACAGCCACAAATATCACATCTGAAGGGTCTTTCATTTTGAACAGTTGAGGACTTCCTCTGATTCACTATCTTATCCTTTTCAGCTTCATGAATAGGTCTAAGGCCAGAAAATCCATCTGCCACTTGAGTGATGCGTTCACCACTGTTGTCTTTATGATCACCTGTCGCTCCCATGATGTCAGGAGCTTGAATCCTGGTTGTTGCAAAATTATTATCTTCCAGATGATGACCATTTGATATGGTAGGGTATTTCCTCTTGAAAGAATTGTTCATGTCATTTCTCATGACCTCAGGCTGCAGTAAGATAGGGGATATACACTTTAGGCAAAGGCTCTTTTAAAAAGAAAATATACAATGTTATATCAACCAACTGTTGTTTTAAGGAGTACAATAAGAACAAGTACTTTGCACATTCCTCTGGCCCTTGCAATTTTACCTCCAAAGGTGGATTGAGTAGCAACAATGGAATAAGTGCTGCACTTCAGAGAACACTGCAAACTTTTACAAAGCAAGCGAACTCCATAATTCTAGAACTGGTACTTTTTTACATTTTCTGCAAAAGCTGGAGCCTGCTGACCAGGTGTAGGTGTCAAGATTCATGGGCAAATCAACAAGGTAAGATAATCTGTAATTTAATTTACAGGAAGGTGACGTTTTACACAAAATCATCTTTGTCCCAACATGGACCCAACATTTGGATCTCCAATTAGGAATGACCATGATATGAACTCACCCAGTTCTCCTGCAAGCAATCCGGCCTTCCCTGCTGATGAGCTGCAGTCATGTGTCGCTCCAAGCTTCGTTTTAGCTTGTAGGTACACCCACACAGGCTGCAACTGTGTGGTTTCACAATGGAGTGATTGTGGATGTGCTTTTCCAGGTTTCTCTCACATGGAAAGGTCTTCTCACAGATGTGACACATGAATACCTTGGAATGCTTTGATATGACATGGTGGTCAAAGGTGTCTTCTGAGGTGAATGTGCTTCCGCATGTGTCACACCTGAAAGGTCTTTGGCGTTTCCTTTTAATCATTCTTTGATTTTTATCTGGATTGCAATTAGTAAGCTCATGAGATCCAAGACACAATTCATATGTAGCAGTGATATCAGTCTCAGTACATTCCATTTTCACAGATGTTACTGAAGTACTGCAATTTTCCTGCCCATGTTTGCAGGACTCCAGCATCTCAGGCAGACAATCTTGCACCTTAAGGAAAGAATGATGAAAAAATAATAATTTCCTTGGAGTCCTCATCTAAGTCAAGGTAAGAAAATGTGCAAAAAATTGTAAAAAACCTCCTATTCTTAGAAGGGTAAATATATGGGCAACGAGCAGCCATTGGGGAGAGGGAAATATCAGCCTACAGATATTAAAAGTACTTTCCTGGAACCTGTTTCAGGAATTTGATGCCTATTGCCTATAAATTCATTGAGTCTTTTGGTATTTCACTGGTGAGTGAGACATTTTAAGGGATAAGAGCACTTCTCTTGAGGAATACCAGCAAAAACATACCACTGCAGACATGGACTGCTGAACCTCATCATATTCAGCACTAATTGCCTTGTTCTCCTCTTGAAACTCCTTCAAGACAGAACAAACTGGATTGGGCAGGATATACTCTGTTTCTCCTCCATCTGGACAAATAGATGTGATGTGTTTCTCTCACATGCATCATCAAGTAATTGCTAGGAATGGAGAATTCCTCACCATTTTCATTTTCCATGGATGGGGGACCTAAGGTCTCCCTTTTGATTACTGCTTGCTCAGCAGACATCATTCAATTTCTTGTGGAAAACATCTGGAGCCAGCAAGGTGCATTACAAAAGATTCACCAGTATCTGGTTATGTGTTGAATACCTGGGGTAAAATCTCCCTCCTTGCAACAGAGCCTTTGCTCACAAGTACAATTAATGGACCTGAAGAGTTTTAGGGCATTTGCAAAGCAGGGTACCCTCCACATGATTTCATAAGAGCACCAGATGTTTGCTTCAAATCCTCATGGCAGATCTGTGGGGAAAAAATTGATTTACATTTTCATGTTTTCACTACCTGATAGGTTGGCACAAAAGGATTATATTTTTTCATGAGGCCACATTCATTCTGTAATTCTGAGCACAATTTCAAGGATGTGGGTAAGAGGACTTCTTCACTGTTTGCATGTAATACACCTCAGTACTGGATGAGGATTATAAAAATCCTCCTTTCGCATCACAGCACATGCTTCATTCATCTGGAGACAAATTTAATTTATTCGGTCCAAGAAACAAGTCTTCCTCAGAGGAAAAATTTGAATAAAATGCTTCAATGGATTTTTATGGATACATTTTTGTCATTAAAAATTGATTTTAAAAATTCAAAAATTCATTCAAACCCACCAATGATCCTGACAGAAGAAAAGATCCGAAATTCTAAATTTGTGATGATTGAGACATGTACACATGTTCTACTTAATTGCATGAAAGATATTTGTGTTCTTACATATATATTCATCAAGAAAAGACAAATGAGAAAAAAGATGTGTTCATGGCTGGTTTTGGAGTCATAGGTAAGCCACAAATGAATACAGATTCACTAAATCTCCATATTCAGAGATTCAGAGATCAAGCAAAAGATAATGAACCCAATTTAACTTTAAAGATGCAACTTAAATTTATATTAATAACTCTGTTTAGCCATAAGCCAGGCAATGGCATCAACCAATGCCTCAGTCATAAAATACGAGTAAAGTGGACTTTCTGCCAAAGTTTGGAACAATTGCCAATTGCAGAATAATCATTTTGACAAACTCTATTTTTGCTGCTTAGAGAAAGACACTCTAAGTTGCCAGGAGGATATGATGCACTTTGAATATTTCACCTTGGGCCCCATACTTCATCTTCCTCAGTTCCAAATGAATTGCAGGTAAAAGCTAAGCATGCTTATTAGTCCTGGAACTGCCAGAGGCAGTGCTGTGGCTTACTGATGTCGATTTTATCAACATCGTTGGCAGTTCTAGGGTTAAGGTCACAATTTTATAGGTTCAATACTTTGCTCAGCTTTCCACCAAAACTAATACCTATAGAGATCAATCCATCAATACATATAAAATATCAGTTACCTTTTGAGGAAAAACAAGCAATTTCAAACTTTTTGCATCTATTTTTTGATTGCACCACATGATTTTCAATGGCATGATTCATCATAAACTGTTTACACAGTCTCAAAACAGATTAAAACTAACTTTGACTTAGCTTAAAATTGACCTTGCTTCCCTTTCCCAAATCTCCCCCTATAAGGAAAAGTAGAAATTGTAATACCAGGTTCATACATAACAGTGAAACTTACCAAACTTATTTAGTGCAATATGAAACTGCTAATAAACCTGCTAAAAAAAAAAAAGAATTAACATGCAGCAAAACAGATGATGAACAATTGGCATCTGATGAGGAAAAAGAGTATCTTTTTTTAGTCTTACTTTTTTTAATAGCCTCATGGTAAGAGCTGGTAAGAGATTTTCAAACTTGTCACTTATATTGCAGTGTATTTCAATGATCTTGAAAATGAGAATCAGTGCTGATCACACAAAACATAGGCAGAACAAAATCAGGTAAGAGCTTGCTGTGGGTCTCACCTAACAATAACCTTTAATATCATAGTTGTAAGTGACAGCTTCCCATTTCTGGATAGCTCATTCCTGTCCCATTATTAAAATGAATAATTTTGTACTTGGTACATGAGATAAGTTACTGAAGTGCACCAAATATTTCTGAAGCAATAATCAGAAATGCTTCACTATCGCTTGCCTGTATGAGAAGCAGCATGTCTTTTTAAATTTGACTTTCTCTTGAATGCCTTTGCACAGACTTCACAGGAAAATGGCCTCAAATCTGAATGACAATCAAGATGACCTGTCAAAGAGAATTTCCACTTGAAACTCATATCACAATGGGGACACTTGAAGGGTCTCTCTTCTGAATGTTTCATGACGATATGGTCGGACAGATTCCCCTGCCTCTTGAAAGCGCATCTACAGATGCCACAGCTGAAGGGTCTGCCTTCTGAATGCTTGGACTTCACATGGGCAGTAAGACTGCTGCTTGTCTTGAAAGCACACTCACAAGCATGACATTTGAAAGGTCTGATTTCTGAATGCCTTGTGCTGAAATGGCGAGCCAAATTGTTCCTCATCTTGAAAGCACAGCTGCAAATGTCACATTTGAAAGGTCTGTCTTCCGAATGCCTCGAGCTGAAATGGTGAACCAAATTGTTTTTCCTCTTGAAACCACACCCACATAAGTCACATTGGAAGGGCCGGTCCTCAGAATGCCTCAAGCTGATATGGACAGTCAAAGCGCCTCTCTGTTCGAAAGTACATCCACAAATGTCACATTTAAATGGTCTGTCTTCTGAATGCCTTGACCTGATGTGATTAACCAAATTAATTTTTGTCTTGAAAGCACACTCACAAACGTTACACAGGAAGGGCCAGTCTTTTGAGTGTCTTGATTTCACATGGTAAGTCAGAGTGCTTTTCCTCTTAAAGGCCAGCCCACACGCCTCACATTTGAAGGGTCTATTTTCTGAATGCCTGGATTTGACATGGTGAGCAAGATGGCTTCTCTCCTTGAAAGCACATCCACAAAAGCTGCATTGAAAAGGTCTTACATTTGGGATATGTTGCTTTTCCTCTTCTTTACTCTCTTCCTTTCCAGATGCATCAATAAGTTCAAGGTCATGAGACCCATGATTGAACTGAAGTTCATCTTCAAAGTCCTCGGGGCTTATACTAGCTTCAGTGATGCCTTCGTTCATCTCAGTTACTGCAGGTAGGCAATCTTGTAAATCATTCACAATTGATTCCAGATCATTCCCCCCATAGAGGGAAGCCTCACTTCTAGAGAATTCAGTCTGTGACAGAATAAAACAGACTTCGATTTGAAACAGAGCATTTCTGCTTTGAAAAATAGGTAAAAAATACAGAATGAGGATTTTTAAAATATTTTTAAAATAAAAACTAGCAAGTATTTCTAGCCCTCAGGCATGAGGTTAATTGTCTCATTTATCCATCATGCTCATTTCCTTATGTCTTGATGATGCAACAATGAATTCATCTGAGAATGTGACATAATATGGAAGGATAGCAAAATAAATATGTTACTTCCAGCAAAGTGAAGACTGCAACAACATGAACCCTTAAATACTAAGGGATCTATATACTTCTACAGTCAAGAAAATAGTAATATGTTAGAAAGGAAAATCAAGTCTTTCCTTACAGCATACAACCTTTCTCCTTACAGCTTCCTACCATTTCTGTTTGTACAACTTCCAGTGAGATGCAATTTATGGTAGGCAGCAAAGTAGGCATTGCCCTTGAAATTACAAAATTGAAAATACATATATCATCTTCATCTTAATATAACCTCAACATGGATCTATAATATTACAATCTCCAATGAGGAGCAATGGAGTGCAAACTCACCCAGTTTTCCTGTGGATGACTTGGTTGACCTTGCAAAAGGGTAAGTGTCAAATGTTGACATTGGCACATTTTCCACTAGGAGGTGCAACTGCACAGGTTGTAGCCAAGGTGCTTTGTATTTGAGTGGATGTGGACATGTATCTTCAGGTACTTCTTGCATGTAAAGGTCCTCTTGCATGCATCACATTAGAATTCTTCCAGGTACCTTGATCCAAATGTGCTGCACCTGAAGAGTCTTTCATTTTGCTCCTGCTTTGCATCCTTAGCAATGTCGCTAAGCTCACAAGATTGAAGATATAATTCATTCATAGCAGTACTCTCTATGTCAGTACACTCCTCTTTTATGTTTGCTTCTGAATCAGAACAATTTGCACTCCCATGCTCACTGGATTTCAACATCTTCACAGACATGGAAACTAGCTCCTTCAAAGGACAAATTATCAAATTGTTTCTTCAGCTGGTTTGCATTACTTTACCTGAAATCAAACCTATAACACTGGCTAACAGGCAAATTTAAGAATGTAGACTCTGGATTGGTTGAGAATCTTGACAGATGATTTCCTTCATTGATTCTCAGAATGCTTCAATTTTTGTGATAAATGATGCAATCCTATTAGATTTGATGTGTGTTTTTGTATATGTCCGTAAAAAAGAGCAAGAAAAATAAATGAAAAGTCAATGCACAATAAATATGGGGAAAAGTGAGATTCAGAACAGAAAAAACTTTCTTTTTAAGGTTTTTTATGTCCTAAAGAATTGTAGTTTGGAAATTGCAGCACTCCTTATTATAGGACAGGCTCTCAGTCTGTCCTATAATAGGTTTAGAGGATAATAGGTTTTCATATCTATTGATTAGTAGAATTGATTGCATTTGGCAATGCAATCAATTCAATATCTCCTTCTTGGTGGACCTATATTTTTTTTCACAAGGCATAGGAATTCAGATCATGCCTACCAATAAAAACAAAATAATTACCTTCCAAGTGAATCTGAAGTTCTATTTTCCAAGTGCCCTTAATGAACTTAGGCTTTATAAGTAGCCAGAATGCAGATAGACATTAGTACAAGCTTGGAAGATGTCAAGTTTTGACAAAACACAAATTCCACATGCCAAATGTGAGTTATTATCTACTTTGTAGTCTGAAAATCTCCTGCTTCCATCACTTTAATGCCCTTGAATCCTTTTATGAATAAGAAGTTAGTTTCTATAACCTATTATTGAAAGCATGAGATCTCAACAGCTTTGCTCCATAGGAAAGTGATGGATAAGAGTACCATCTGAGTACCAATGCTCAAACAGCACTCTCAACTCAGGAAGTTTCAATAGCAAGAAACATTTAAGGTGAGATGCAATATGAGTGCTCACAAGGTACATGGTTATGAGTCTTCCAGCATGGGCTGACTGACATAACTGCAAGAAGTTATCACCTTCAATGTAAGTCATAAGGAGAGAAAAAAGGTAGATGGGCATTGCAATGATTCCAGAAAATTCAACACAGTATTGTCAATGGAAATGTGCACAATGGCGCCAAATGAGCAACAGTTCTATATAATTATGGTCCTTGATGGCCTCATTTAGTGACTGAGCAGGGTGCCACCATGAAAAATTGTATTAATCAATCAACAATCACTGACCAGCTGTGAGCCAGGCAATGGTATCTACCAATGCCTCAGTTATGGAATGAATCCAAAAAATGAGGCATCTTTCCAAGTTGGTGCTTTGAATGAATACAACACAGTTGAGCCACAGGCCACTGCTACAACCCATCCTACAAATAAAATACAATACAAATTTCTCATTCACTGAGTCAACGAGGCCCAGCCACCTGGGGCCAAAATTGTCCCAATTGAATAAAACCCTCAGCTGCAAATAAACAGAACACATAGCCTCAACTTCATTGATAGGGTTGTCACCATAAATCACAAGCAGTTTCAATAAAGGGGGAAATGAGAATATTCCACATGCATCACAAAGTCACTGGATATTGCAGCCTAAGAAAAAGTCCTAAACAAACATGGGCAAATTTCATCTGTTGGCTTTTCTCATAATGTGGACACCATACCAGTGATTGCAAAATATATGTCATATTTATGACAAATAAAGGGTGAAACAAAAGTTAGTCACTCCAGTTCACATTATGAAGTGGATCTATCAATTTTGAAATATTGTAGCATATTTTGTACCAAACAAAGCATTTTTGTCCCAAGGACAATGAGAAGGTCAGGCATACCTTAAGTAATGATGCCCATGAAGATAGGACACATTCCTTTAAAAAAAAATCTGGTAAAGGCAGACAAACTGAGTGCACATAGTTGCAGAGATGTGTGAGATCTTCACATGGAGTCCCAATAACAACAAAATGAATCAATCACTACTGCCACTTCACAGAAAGAAAGAAGAAATGCTTTGGAGGCATTAAGATGGTGAACAATTCCCTATCCAGGGAAAATAAAGATTCTCTTAGAATATTATGACCATCTTGCATACTAAAACAGAGAAATCCTTAATTCGTTTAAGACACCTGTTCATGCTCTGGATACTCAACTCATAATCTGTCATTTGACATGGTAATTTCTGGCATCACAATATGTATAATTCGCATCACATCCTGCAACAGCTGCAAACTTGCTACACACCTGGTAGACATTTGAAGCTGGCTTCTGCAGCCACAGTTTGGAATCAACTTGAATCAGTTTTGGTAGCTAATTGATTTTCTCATGAATTCCATACTTTCATGTCCTAGTTACAAGTCTTTTTTTTCTTTGATTTTATCCCACTGTTAATTTATAGCATAAGGAAACCTGTAAATTGCAGATGTAAATGACCTGTAAATATCAGCGTTTGTTTGTGCGAAGGAAGGCTTTCCAGGAAAGGAAGCAAAGTCATATTAACTAATTACACACGAAGACATAATTTCAATATCACAGAGCTATAAAAATTAATCATAAATCATAAAAAGCTTGCTAAATGGAGACAATCTGTGACATTCCCCAAAACCATATAAACTGAAGTCTAGCACATATTCCTAAAATAAAAAATCTATCTATCTGAAATAATTTCTCTTTGTTTTTTGCAGATGCAGAAGGGTCTCAAAGTCTCCCAGGCCTTAAGCAAATACACTGCTTTTGGATTGAATTCCTACTGCCTTCTTATAATTTGAGAACAGGGAAAACACAACTTCCAGAAAGATCTGCACCATCAGGTGATAAACATGACCACCAGCTTGGAAGATGTCGCTACGTTACAAGGGGGGCACAGGGGGGTTGGTGTTCAATCCAAAAACAGAATATGCTCAACAAGAAAAGCAGCTTATAAATGGTCTTTCACCTATGTGTGACAATGTAGCTCTTTGGGTATGATTCTATCCTGAATGCAGTCTCATAAATTTTGCAGGAAAATGGCCTCAAGCATGAAGGGGACATTTCAGGAGCATTTAATTCATTCTTTGGGCCAAATTTTAACACATGCATCAAATTCAAATTAATTGGTATTTGGATCTGAAACCTTTCCCACAAGTACCACACACTTCTCATTGGGATGGACAGAGGTCATGTGATACTTCAGGCCTCTCTTCCTCTTGCCAGAGTAATCACACATGTTGCACTTGTAGGGTTTTGTGTCTGAATGGCACTGAAGATGAGATGTCAATGTACACTTCAGCTTGAAGGTTTTGTCACACAGAGGGCACTTAAAAGGCCTGTCTTCTGAATGCCTTGTGTTCACATGCTTAGTCAGAATGCCTCTCAGCTTGAAAGAACATCCACAAATATCACACTTGAAGGGTCTGTCTTCCACGTGCCTCAAGCTGACGTGACGGGCCAGGTTGCACCTCCACTTGAAGCTGCACCCACAGATTTCGCACTTCAGGGGCCTGTCTTCCGAATGCTTGGAGTTGATGTGGTCTGCCAGATGGCGTCTCCACTTGAAAGCCCATCCACAGATGTGACACTTGAAGGGTCTGTCTTCGGTATGCCTCGAGTTGATGTGATCGGCCAGAGTGCCCCTCCTCTTGAAGGCACACCCACAGATGTCACACTTGAAGGGTCTGGCATCTGAATGCTTTGAATTTACATGGTCAGTCAGAGTGCCTCTCATCTTGAAAGCACACCCACAAATATCACATTTGAAAGGCCTATCTTCTGAATGCCTAAGCTTGACATGTTCAGCTAGGTTGCCTCTGCTCTTGAAAGCACACTCACAGATATCACATTTGAATGGTCGCTCCTCTAAATGTTTTAATTTTATATGATCTGCAAGACTGTCTTTTCCCTTCAAGGTAAATCCACACATGTTACAAATAAAGGGACTTTCATTTTGGATGATGAAAAGCTTCACAGCTTCCTCTTTTACACTCATTCCCTTTCCAGCCTCATCAATTGGTTTATGGTAAGGAGATCCATGAATTGGTTCAGTAGAATCAGTGTGCTCATCACTGAAGTGTACAGAGTCACCAATCACTTCAGTGATGCTGGAACTGTTCCCTGTTGCAGAGGATACAAAATCTTCTTGGCTTGTCCTTTCAGGGTCCACAGGAACTTGCTCCTCTGCAGAATTTTCAGATTCACCTATTGAGATCTCAGCCTGCAAAGGAACCAAAAGACTTAGAATGCTTTTTAAAGGAGATAAATTCATTGAATTTTCACCTGACTAAATTTTAAGGCATCAGACACTCCAGGTTTCTCCATCAAACAGGGTACTAATTTTGAAGAGGCACAAAAGAAAAGCTATCTGCAAAAGTAAACTAAATTGCATAAAATGGCAGAAGAGTAATAAGCCTGTGCAATCCTCTGCCATTTTTTTTTTTTACAAATGTAAAGCTTTCAAGGTTCAGGTAGTGATGTCCACAAGTACTTTTTGCCATAACAACATCCCATTTTAAGGATAAGCACTTACATAGAGATGGGCCTAATCCCTCTTAACAACATATATTTTTGTTAAAGCATTTTCACCTACTGCTTTGTCATTATATTGCTTCCTATTTTTGTTTTGTCCAGAAGATATCAAACCTCTTCATAAAGCTAGTACAGAAGGGACTGCCATTACAAAATCACTTTGATAATTCAGAACACTTAACACTAGAACTTCAGGAGCAGTCAAAATGACTTCCCTGGTAGTTCTAGTGTTAATACTCAGCAAGTAAGGAATTCATTCTGCAACCTAAGCCTCACTTGGAGTTTATCCATCTTGATCTGGTTCCCTCTCGTGTTACTTCCATCATCAAGCTGGGAAAATCTTCTACACTCCAAGTTATTGATTTCCTTACAAAACTTAAAAAGCATGGATGAGGTTCCTCCTTGATTAACCTTCTCTTGGGCAAGTAGAATCCAAAAATATACATATGCTTCTCAGATGGCTCAAATTGAGCTCAAAGATGTGGAATGCAAGTAGCTTCTCTGCCTTCATGAAATATGTTCATTGTAAAAGCCCACTCCGTGTTCAATCATAGATTTGCAAGGGGTCAAATCCTTCCTCCATTTTTAACTCTTCTCATAGATACCAAGTCAACTAGCATTGCAATGGATGCTTGAGCTATGGATAGGGGAACCCTGCACAGTCACTGTAGTTCAATGTTGTAGATCAGTTGGACGAGAAAGATTTATGTCACCAACATCTGTTGGTCAATAAGATATTAGAAGCCACCTAAATTCATATAAATCAATGAAGAGCCTGTCCATTTATAAAAATCTGCTGTTTAGGAATTTTACAAGAGCACTGCTGATCTTCCAGATGCCTCAGACTGCTGTCCTACTCTACATCTGTCTCAACCTAGACTCTCTAATATAACCTTCAAGTACAAGATCATGATCACAGATTGAACTCACTGAGTGCTTCCCTTGCCAGTGGGCTAGGGTCATGTGTCGACCCAGGCTCTGCTTCCACATGAAGGTGCGCCCGCACACATTGCAACTGTGTGGCTCCGTGTTGGAGTGGCAGAAGGAATGCCTGTTCAAGTTCCTTCTACATGCAAAGGTTTTATCACACACTTGACACTTGATTTCACTCAAGTGCCTCGATGTGATGTGGTGGTCCAGAGTGTCTCTCGAGCTGAATCTACATCCACACGTGTCGCATCCAAAGGGTCGTTCACGCCTTCTCTTCTTCAAATTTTTGGCCATGTCACTGCCACTACAGTCATGAGATCCAATAGGAACATCACTATCATTTTCAGTACATTCTACTTTCACTTTTGTCATCAAAGTAGAGCAATCTTCTGGCCCATGGTCATTGGACTCCAATGTCTTCATAGGTAGACCATCTTCATCCTGTTAGGAGAATAATAAAAATATTACTTTTTAGAGGTGCATCATATCCAGGGAGATTATTCAAGCAAGATTTCCCAAAATCTTCACATCTTGATCAGTTTAATAGAAAGACTGAATATATCTAGTCATAGGTGGCAGTATTCTGTGATGAAATTCTTTGACTGATAAATATTTATAAAGTCAGAGGTAATAGCATTAAGTAGAGAACTTTAGCAGAAACAAAATAGTATTTTACTTAATACAAAATTCTGGCATATGACTACAGGAAATTGTCCAATACCTGGCGTGTTCAAGGGGTTAAATATTATTAATGGCTGTGGATTCAGTTATACAACTATATCACTCACTAATGAAAAGATTTCAGGACAAAAGAAAATTCACCTGTGGAATATCCACAAAGCAAACAAGTTCTTCAGGCAGTGACTGCTGAGATGCGTCATCCTCCTCTTCATCATTGCCACTGTCATCACTTTCATCAAGCAGCTGTCTCTTCCCTTCAATCTCCTGCATGCCGTCCAGGACAGGATCAGCTGGACTTGGCAGGATGTACTCAACTTCACCTCCATCTGAACCTTGTGATAAGCATTTGTGTTTCATTTATCATATGGTTAAGCAACAATGAAGAATGGGGGGCTCCTCACCATTTACCACCTCGTTGGATGGGGAATCTAGGGCCTCCTTTTTCATGACTGCATGCTCAAAGGACATAATTTAACTTCCACCTGTTAAACAAGAAACTTGAACATTGGGGAATGCATGCTTATATGACAGGAAATCCAAAGAATATGGTTGATTACATACTGACAGGTAAAAACAATATCACAACCTTTGTGATATTGTTTATCACAAATATTCATATATGCAAGGGGAATCATCATCCACCCACTACATACAAACTGGTACCTATTAAATAATAAGTATTAAATATATGTCTTCAGTGAAGCAGCTAGTGTTTTATATCACACAAGTTGCAAAGGAAATATCATTTTATTTATCACAACAACATTCTCTCAATAGAAAAATGAGTCTCCATTCTAATTGCTTGCAAGACCATAACTGAACTGTGCCTTTGCATTCTCTTTTTCTGGTGCCAGTACTAGTACTGACAAAGAGAATCATTTATGACAGCCCTCCAATCAACCCCTTGATGAGAAAACTCAGCTGCAGGAATTCTTGCAACAGGGGCAGATGCTTGAGTCACAATACACAAGATAGAAAAACAGAAACAGCATTGGAAGAGAACTGAGATGCATTTAAGCGAGTCAGAACCAAAAATCATCCATCCAGAGATCAATAGACAGGCGGGGGCTGCTGCGTGAGGAGGAGGCCGAAGCGCTTCTTGATGGACATCCTCTGCTGAGAATATTTGTCTTCCGGGGAGAACCGAGCTGCGAGGGATGACAAAATGTATCTTTTAGTTTTCACCTAGGGCTAATTCACACTAATTAATCCAGGAGTATAAATGTATTACAAGACAGCACTCTATCCGTGTAAATTTCCAGACTCTCCAACAAGTCTGTATGCATGCTGTATTGCATAAGACAATTACAAGAACTCCAAATAATGATCTATCTCTTTCCCAAGAGCCATGATAGAACCATACATAGATGACTAGTTGGCAAGACATAAGGTTAAGAAAATAAAAATAAAAACCTATTAAAAGCACATAAATTCTCTTGTCTGAAAAATGAAACTGAATAGGAGGTTCGGATTCAACTTTCTTAGCAGACATAAGTAGGTATATTTGAGAACAGATTTCATTAGGTAATTCTGTAAGCAATATTCCTCCAGAGCTGTTGTTGCAGGTTTAAAAAACCAACTTCATTGTGTCCCATCCTCAAGTAAAGATGACAGAGTATTTCATGAGGGAACATTTAATGGATAGGTGAAATTTGGATAGTAGGACAAGCTGAAATTAGGCTTATTCATTGTTTCCTTAAGCCTGGGACTTATTTTTGAGAAGAATAGCTAGCAATTGCTCAACCTTCTAAAAAATATCTTAGGCTAAACAAAATATTACTTCTTATACTTAAATATATGGCATTTTCCACCAAATATACTGGAGACACACTCACTTTTAATTCAAAACCTCATTTGCTTCATTACAAGCTACAAGTAATAAGTGTTAAGTCTATTTCAAGTTCATTTTCTTCCAAGCAGAATGAATTGGCCCAACTCAAACATTATATATTTGTTCCACTTTATTTATCATGAAAACTGACAAGTTGCAAAATCTGGACTGACCTGGATGCGCAGAGAACGTTGGCTTCCCATGCGGATCAACTTTCTGAAAAATTGAAAGGAAAAATGGTAATTCCATTCAAACGCAGCCACAACCGCAGACAAAAGCCAAATTTAGGCCTATGCATTAGCCTATCTCGTATACTAACCTTCAGAGTGTAAACTCGTTTCCCTCCTTCATCCAAGTAATACATGAGATACATTCCGAAAAGATTTCGGATAGAACTTCCCAAAGCAAACAAAGGTATACGAACAGAACCAGAAGTTTGTCGTTCAGCTAGTACCTCACGTGCTGTTCACGGAGATCGTGCGAGGCGCCATGCGGTAGAGGCCTACGCGGGGAAAACGCTTCTCCTCGGGCGTCAGTCTGGGCTCCGACAGGCACCGCGGGACGGAATGCTTCTCCCATGCAGGTCTCCCAGCGTGCGCGAACCCGTCGATAGAGGCCTGCACGGCGCTTCCACCCGAATCATCCCGCCGTGTAACCCGACCAGCCGCAATTCGGTAAGTCCAACTTCTCCTCCTGCCTCCAGCAAGTCCGGGAAGTGCGAAGGCCGATGCAAAGCCAGAGCATCGTCCCACTCCGAAACAGCCAAGAAGCCATCAACAAATCGTATAATCGCTTAGAAGCGTGTCTATTCCAGTGAGGTCTTTTATATTCTGCACTATTTGAAAAATCCACAACGAGCACAATTTTCAATCGTCAACAGATAATACTTTCCCATAACGTGGCCACGTCAAAACCGATGGGTTGGAGACAATTTGCTAAGAGTCATCGGGTTCAAAATGAATCGCAAAGGAGAAACGGAGTTTCTTCAATTTGCGTGTCAGAAACGTCGCGAAGACTTCCGGGCATGTCTCGTCTCTCAAGCCGAATGTCTTCGTATTCTGCCTACTGAAACTGCGTCACCCGCGAATTTTCGGACTGGAATTCCCGTCGATGCAAGGTTCCGCTTCCAGTACTTCAGTACTGCAGTACTTTTGGAGCAGAGCACAGGCGCCGAGTCGATCAGCTCGTGCCAGAAAATCGAAGAAAATGTGCAATTAAATCATTCGTTTTACAAAATGTGCAATTAAATCAATTAATGTGATTTCCTTCAGAAATTTCAGCGAAGCCGAAAGGCGGAACGACATTTTTCCACTCACAGGAAAGCTCGATCGTGTCAAACCTCGACGGAAGGTCCTCCATCGACTGAGATAGGTCATAGGAGGTCATAGGAGGTCATAGGTCAATCTGGGAGGTTTCTCCTGATGAAGGTCGAAAGCTTCAAGGCTTCAGGGTTGTGGCTTCGAGATTTTCGTTTTTAGTCTCAGGCATTTTCAGGTTTGTGGTTTGAAGCTTCAGATTGGATGTTTGAGGTTCGATGCCTCAAATTTGACGTTTGAGGTTTGATGTTTGGCGTTTGAGTTTTAGCATTCCAGGCTCGGGATTTTGCATGGAATTCCCTCCCCCCCAGGTCAGTGCACGACAACGTTATCGCTCGGGAAACCAGGCGATGCCGCCGCGTGCCAGACCGCGTCCAGTTAGATTTCACGACCGTCAAACGCAGTTTGGGCGAAAAAAAAATTTTTGAACATCGTTCCGTCGTGAGTCTCACGAGTTTTCGTTCTACAAGAACAAAATGCTGAGATCTGCGCGATTCGTTGTTGGAGTTTGGAGCGGTGAAAATTTACAGCGTAAGTACGATGTCGGACCGAGGACGCCTTAAGTCCTTCTCGGTACGTTTTGTAGTACCTTTTTAGAACGGGGGGGGACGGGCGGGGACGGCCAGAGAGGGGCGGGGACGGCCATCGCAATCTCCACGTCCCAAAGGAATTTCCTGATACGGAATTTTGTGTTATTTTTTATACTGTGCGGAATCCATGCAAGTGAATTCTTCTCGCAAAAGCATCCGAAATATCATTAGAGTTTCCACTTTATTTTCTCCGCATGTGATTTAGTCATGCAAGGCCCATAGGTTCACATTTTGCCTTCATAACCTAGCTCGATCCATTGAGAAACCTTTTTCTCTCGTCGTGGGCTTTTTTTTTCATTTATTCCCTTATTAGACGTAGTTTTTAAATAAATATATATGTTTTTGCATCCTTGGAAGGAAAACGGCGAATGCCGTCCTTCGAGTTCGTCGCGAATTTCCCATCTGGACGATCGAATCTGAAAAAAAAAAAACAGAACTCGGTCGGTGGTGCACCGCCGAGGCGCTCCAAGGGAGGAGAGGAACTCAACGAATCGCGCTTCCCGAGCGAGGAGGTTTATCGAATGCAACTGGATGTTTCTTCAATGTTTCTCTTACGAGGAGGAATACTTCAACTAAAGTTGTATTTCAAAGACCTTCCCGCTTTTTCAACCCCCCCCCCCCTTCCACCCTATCGATCATCATTAACGTTAAGCATCCGCTTAGTCCCACGGACTGTCTTTTGGTCATACCTAGACTTATCTTTTATTTTTCTTTTAGAAGGAATTTGAACGTTTGACTAACCGGGAGATTTAAGCCTGTAAGGGTCAATATCGGGGTTTTCCAGACAAATCGCTGAGCATGAGTAACGTTAGCACGATTCTGGGCCTATTTTGGCTTTCAAGGACCTTTCGTAGAGGAGGCGTAACATCAGCTTAATTGTGAGCCTCTTCCGAATGTCATGGACCATTTCCGTGAGGAAATGAGAGGTTAGGCCTATCTGGAGTTTCTCGAACCATTTCTGCGTAGCCTCTTGACAGATGGCCTCAGAAATTTGAGTGCATCTCGAACGCCATCTTTTTTAATACAGGGATGTCCGAGTGCGATATCTCATGGCCCCTTAACGTCGATCCGCCACTGCTAATCACCGACTTACTCTTGGCTCAACCCATGAACTCAGCACAAAAAAGCATCGTACATTGAAAAAAGCATACTCAGCACCAACATGAAAGCCAAACCAGCCATGAATCCGACATAACTCCGGCACGATATCCGGCAACCGTCGCCAACCGAGCTCCCAAGTTTCATTCTCATTGCGAATCGGTGCCCGCCAACATCAAAGAGGGCTATTCCCGCGATCCTCAAGTCCCCATCTCTCTTTTGGTTGAGCTATCTTCACCGGAAAAACTCCCAGGGGTGGCTGAGAGGCCCAAACCACGGAGTGTCCTCAGGTCAGGTCTAGACCTACATTTTTCCATTCGAAAGTTTCTCAATCTTCGACTTACGGGGTCAATTAGGCCTAAAGGATCACTCTCTGGGCTTTCGAGATGTCTCGCCGAGGATGAGTAACGTCAGGCCGATTACAGACCGATTGTAACTTTCGCGATCCATTTCAGTGCGGACTGTAACGTTAGGTTAAGCGTACCTCATCCCATGGAGGAGTGGGGGGGGGGGGAATGAAAAAGCAATTTCGTTCCTCCAGATGCTCTCAGAGGTAGTGGAGGCAGAATTTTGTCAGACCGGGAGGTGTTTGGTGAAAGGGAGTCCGTTCGGATGCGCCTATCGAAGGGAGCGGCGCTATCAGTGGCGCAGCCCGCTTCTTCCCATACCTTTGGCCCTCCACATTTTCTCCATGCATGTATTGTCTCGACGGACCACCTTGAGACTTTCCTCGATTTTCCTATGCACACATCATCATGAGCTTCTGTTCCAAGTTTTACTCATGAACTCATTCGATGGTTGCAGTGTCCTTACGTTACGGAAGGTTTCATTCGGGCATCCCAGGTTTCTTTTTTTTTGCATTTGCTGAAATGCCTTGTGTGAGGCGGCTGAAGCGCATGGTCAGTGCTGGGTGCATTTCGTTGCAGAGATTTATTGAAATTTCCAACTTTTGGAATGTTCGTCGAGTCACTTACACTCTCGGGATATGCTCGATCGGCACGCGTTCCCTGATGAACGCCGGCAAAATCGTGAAATATCTCGCTGCTTTTCCTTCTTTTGGCCATTTCTTCATGCGGTTCTTGATGAGTGGGAATCGAGCGAGAACACAGTCGTGTTTCCCATGGAAAGTCATCACTTGTTCCTCATCCCAGATATTCACGAATATATAGGTGAAAGCCGTTCCGAATCGCAGTTCTTATTCGTACACAGTAAAAAATAATGGTTCTCCCTGGAACTCTTTACTGGTTCTACAGTGAAACTTTCTTGGAACCATTTAATGGCGCCATAGAGAACCACCTATGAAGGTTACATGTAGCACCTATAACCGAAGGTGTCACTTAAAACCCCTTCGTGAATAACGGTTCCACACAGAACCATCGCCATTTGGCAAAACCGCGTTGTGTCAACTTTGAGCAAAGGTTCATTTCTCAACGTTTGGGCATTACAGTACCTCCTCCACTTCTTGGGTCTCAACTCTATACCTGGGTACTCTATTAAGTACTGTCATCCCACAGGGGGTTCCTTCCAAAGGACAAAGGAAAGATCTCAGGGATTTAATAGTACTCTATTGAGTACTAATGCCTCGGAGGAGTCCCGCTGAGGTTGTATTTGCTTCACTAGATCAGAATTAGAGTTGAGTACACAACTCTTACTGTCCAGCGAAGGGATTGCACTTCTAGCAACATCCCCAGATTGATTTAATTCTAGAAGAGGAGCCAGACATAACCCCGAGTTCAGTTTTCACGCTCCGTCTCTCTCCGAATGCGATACAAGAACTCGAATCCCTATATGCTCCATGTGAAGACTTAGGAAAATTAAGCATGTCTCTTCGGACATCCTAGTCAGTTGTATTTGGAGTTTCCTGCTACCGTGTTACCTCCTTGAACGAGTCTTTCTAGGAATTCCAAAGCCTTCCCGTAAGTTGTACATGGCGCTAAATTCCACACGAATCGATCTGCCATCAGGTAGTGGTCTTAGTTACACAGGAAATTTGATCAGGAATGAGTCAGACTTTGTAATGACGATAGGACGAGATGACGTCACAGTCAAAGTGATGCAAGATATCGAACATGAAGGCGTAAGAAAGGTGAGGGTGGGGGGCGGGGGGGTGCAAATGCAGTCGCAATTCTGCTCTACGGTGGTGTGCACACGTATTACGGCACAGAGACAGTTACGATGGCTCGTGCAATGGTAGAAAGGGTTTTAGACCAAGTGGTCCAACCACTCACTTCCACATGTGTCACTTTTCCGGATAGTCCAAAATAATTACGAATTGTTATTCCGAAGTTTCCACAATTTTTGCAAGCCCCCTCGTATGAGGCTTCTGAATTGGCAGGGTTGGAATTAAGGAGTTTCATGAGGGTCTCCGTTTCAGTCGTTTCCCTAGCAAGAACTGCTGTAAAAGACTTATTCCGGGTCTTAGTGGCAATTCCAGTCCAGGCGCTATGCGGGAATATACGGGCGAAAGAATCTCGAACATCGACTTATCCGACCAATTAATCGTATAAGGATTCCTCAGGGTTTTTGGGACAAATTTCCTCCGAAACTCAAATTCTTTTTTGGACGCCATCATGGTGCATGAAATGCAATGCGCATGAAATGTCCTTTCCCATCCACGTAGTTAAACCATTGTTGAATGC